CATCACTGACCACTCAATCCTGCAGCCAGTTCTTTGTCCACTCAACAGTCCACCTATCAAACCCGTATCTTTCCAATTTGGAGAGAAGGATGTTGTGGGCTACTGTGTCAGAGGACTTAGTAAAGTCCAGATAGATTATTTTTGATAACCTGATTCTTAAACACAGGCTGCCTTGGGTTTGTTTGTTTTCTTTTTCTTTGAAATAACCTGTCTGTGCAAGGGTGAATTGTAGTTTTCTTGCTCCTTCGGTCTGTCGCCAGTGTCACTTTTTAATCTCTGTCTTTCATCCTGTAGCCCTGCCACAAGGCAGAGCAGATGTTCTGCCAGCTCACACCTCACACAGCCATTCTGACTGCCGCTCCAAAAACTGCAAAGCCAACTAGAGGCTCATGAACTCCACACGGCCGGAGGTCTGAACTGCTTCCTGGTCACCTCTGAATTCAGTCAGGGTTATTGGAAACCCTTATTTATGTTGACTATTAGATTTGCTCTTTACTCATATAATCCATGCTCACGTCCAGCAGCACGAGAACTTCAATTAACCACCCGTTAAGGCACGCCTCACAGTCCTTCCCATTCCGTGGCACGTACATTTTTTAAGCAGTGCTTGTTGAAAACCTGCAGTAACCGTGAGCAGTGCATTCCTTTGCAGAGGTTTCTGTGCAATGGAGTGCAATGTCATCCTTGTCCGGAAGGGGGGACTGTTGTTTCGTGTACAGCGAGTGCTAAATCCTTCAAAACATTTTTACATCTGCGTGTTTCACACACGGGAAAGAGGAAAGTGAGCTGCTGTAATGATAATAGAAGATGGACTGTGAAAACAGAGTTATTGAGGTAATTTCAAGAATCACCAGAAGTTTGGATCATAGAAAAAATCGAATCTTTGTGTTTTGTATATTCTTACATTGGGGATGTATACAAAAATATGTAGGTTAAATCAAGCTGTATTTATCACAAAACTTGACCAGTCAAGATCTTGTTTTCTGGAATGTGAAATTAATTTGTTGTAATTAGGCTCCTTAAGTAACACAGCTGACATTACTGTGATTTGTGTTCAGTCAGTGCCTGAGATTTTCTGGGACACAACAGAAGCCCATTCTACAAACGGTGGTGTTTGCAGTTCTGCTGTTAGCCACTTTCAGGAATCACAAAGAAGTGTTCTTGAAAGGATATTCTCAAGTGAACACTGATTCTCGGTGTTTTGGTTTTATAAATCTTTGCGTTTCATTAAGAATGGCTTAAGGGCAGTGATTTTTTTATTATTATTATTCAGTTGTAAAC